AACAGTGTTGAAATTGTTCTGTTTTGTTTCATCAAAACTGTGTTTTCAAAACTAAATGAAACCCTATCCCATCAAAACAGCGAAATGGAAGTCGAAACGAAATGGTGCTGTTTCACACAGCCCTATTGACTAGGCTGAAACCACCATCAATTTTTTTTTTTAAATATTTATTTCTATATATATATAACTGTACCTCTACCAACCCAACAAGTTAAAGTATTTTAGTCCCATTACAATGTTCGCACTGCACACCATTCTTGTGCTTTCACTTGTCGTCACTTTCGTCCTCATCGTAGTCACTATCCTTACCGTTGTCCTCGTTGCTCTCTGTGGAGGGCTTGCTTCTGAAAAGTCTGTGCCAGCCCACTCTCCACCATATGAAGTCCGCCATCTTTTTCCTATCGTCGTCTTCTGCCTTCTTGTAGTACCAGTACATTTTACGCAACCCCATTTAATACAGGAATGGAGTCTGAGTACATTCCTCGACTGTGGGGTCTGAGTGCCGGTTTGTGAACAGGGCGTACAGGGCAGGTGATGAACCGGTCAAAGCAGGCTGAGGGGTGTCACGCCTGATTAATAGTCGGCCGGATCTGAGAGAAGGTTCTAGAGATTTCTGGGTTAGATCATGTACAAGGTTTATTTAAACAACTGTGTTTAACAACAAAGGGATGGTTACAAATAACAATAAAACACAAAATGTGACTATAACATACACTAACACCACAAACATAAATATGTATCAATGGCACTTATCAGTAGGAGCCAGTTGCCAAGTGTGTGCACTTTCTGTCTAATTAAGCTTTGTTAGCCTCTCACAAGTCAGGCATCCCTGAGTTTGTGAGCTGACTCTGGCTGGTGAGGTGTGGTCTGGTGCGATCCTCGTCACGACCTCAGTCTCTGACTGATCGAGTCAAAGGTGATGGTCCCAGTATCAATCTTATAGTTTCATAGTAGTTTCATAGTAGCTAGGGTCAGGAGGGACCTGATGAGATCATCTAGCCTGACCCCCTGCCACAGGCAGGAATGAA